TCTCCAGCATCTGCAGTTCCTGCTATAGCTGATACTGCATGACACTTCCCCAAAGTTCACAATCTGACTGAGTTGCCATGTTTCACGCAGTCTTTGAACTTACTCACCTTGCTGAAGGTTTCAAACTCAGAGAAATCAAAATTGAGGCAGCATTTAAGAGCCTGAACCCAATATCACTGTGAGTGCACATGATGAGATCATGCATGCCTCATGAACTGCCATGCTTTCTACATTGACTGCACCAGTCAATATTATGACCAACAACTAGAAAATTTGAACATATGGTCCTGCCAAATTCATTTTCAGCAACATGGTAAAGATTTACCCAGCATTAGGATAACAAAATATGGCCCCATATTCTCTGATATATGTGATATATGACTAAAGGTTTCTTTTCCTGAACAATACATAGAAATAGAATGAAGGCCTCTTCTGTCTGCTGGCTATTAAAATGGAAAATGAAATATGTATGGTCAGCCTTAATCTAATTCCCAGTGAGTCCAAATTCATGGCACAAAAGAAATATATAATTGCACAGCTTTTGGAAGTTTCTGCTGGTGGCACTTCCATTGGTGCACATTATAGTGAAACTCCACTGCTGTGTTTCAATGCTTATCCCTGGTTTTGTGGGCAGTACAGAGGAATCCTGATCTTAGACAATGTTTCAACTGACCTGACACAACGCTAAGAGCATTAGATCTAGGATCAGGAGTAGGCCCCTTAAGCCTGCCCTGCCATTCAAAAGATCGTGGCTGATCTGCCTCAGGCCTCAATTCGTCTTTGCTGTTTCCTCCTCATAGCCTTCCATTTGATTTTTTCAAAAATCTGCCTCCTCTTTAAATACCTTCAAGGCTCTAAGTTTTACATTTGATCAGAAGAGATATTTGTCACTTTGAAAAATACAAAATTACCTAGATCTTTGTTAAATAATATAAAAACAAGTTTACAGATAGAGACATGGTCTATCAAATTATAGCTCCATGGAACTAGATGAACATATTGCTGAGAAAGTTTCTATATGCAATTCTAGAACACACTAACCATCTGGAATAAGATGACAGAAGAACAAATTATTTATTACTCATAATAACTGTGAGTAGCCATGTTGTATGTATGGTGCTGTCAGATATACTGAACAGACTTATCATGGTAATGGGTTAGTCATTTGACAGATCAAGCATAGCATTGTCATCATTGGCTATCCCTCAATTTGATGATGATGTCAGGGTTGAGAGTTCCTGCCTTGGGTCTTCATGTGACTGAGCAGAACAATTCTTGAATCAGTTGGGCACATTGGGTGGGAAGCCCTGTCAGATAGTGGGATCCAGAATGCAGGATTTACTGTGTTTTCTTTCCTTATTCTGCCATCACTCTGCCTCATTATTAAGATGTTGTGGATTACTGTTTGATGTAGCTTGATGGACAAGTTCCTAGCACTGTGACACTGTGACTTTCAGCATGCTAGTTCATCCAAAATATGATGTGAGATGCAAAATGTCATAGGACAGGAGACAGTTGCAGACAGTAATCATTTGTTGAAAAACTTAATGACCCTATATGATGAGAGTTAACATGTCTACATTAGATTACCTGTTATGACCTTTCAAATATAATTTTTGGGTTAGTAGGACAAGCAGATGAATTGTGTCCAATGTGAAATCTCCTGCTCCTATTGCCTGTGTGATTTCATGAGGTATTTCTGAGTGATTTTCCTCGATAAGAACATTTGCTTATCCTCTAGGGATGGTGCTCCTTGTGTTAAAGGATATTATATTCTAGGATGCCTGGGAATTTAAATGCCGCCTTTCATAAACCAGCTGTGGCCATAGATTGCAACAAAACATGAAAAAGACAGCAGTTCAGCAAGAGACAATCAAATGCCTCACTAATGTTTTGCTGTCCTTCGCAATAACCTGTACTACAGGGCCAGCTGGCACTTGCAGCCCATTGAGGCAATTGGCACAGAAAATGGCACAATTTCAGGCCTGGCCTATATCCACAGTTAACTATCACGTGAAATCTCCCAAAAATTTCACTTGTGCCAACAGGAGGGAAAGGCATTGCCATCAAGGACCAAACTCTTCTCGCCTCCAGAACCTTAGGCCAGTAGTGTAAAATGTTCAATGGTTTGACAATAGTAGACAAAGTAGCACATTAGCCACTGTATTAACCCTCTGTAATTCACAGTTGTACAGCTAACTCTCATTGTGGTTTTGGTTGGGGGAGAGGGACGGCGAGCTACATAACTCAGGATCTCACACCATGGCTCCCCTTCTCTCCTAATGGCAGTTATTTGCATTTCCTCTATTTAGCAACCTCCTTAGAAGTCTTACATTAGCTCCTCCATGTCACACTCAATAACAGTCAGCCCTCTTCTCATTGATTCAGTCGTGTTGTCAGGGAAATTGTGCAGAAAGCTCACAAAGAGCAGAACACTGGATGGGCACGAGCACCTCAAATTGGATGACGAATTGATCAATTCAGGAGTGGCAGAAGAATTCACGTGCCTGTGGCTGTGTCATTGAGGTCTGCAGTGTGTGCCAGGACCCATTTTATTTTAATACTTACTGGTTCATAGGATGTGGGCACTGCTGGCTTGTCTTGCATTCATTGCCCATTCCTAATTGTCCTTTAGAAGGTGGGGGTGAGCCTTCCCTTTCACAAAACCTTTCCAGTGGAACTGGAATGAAATTCCAGAATACCTAAAAATGGCAAGCAACAAGCAGCAGCTCCTTGCTAGGAACCATTTGCCACAGGAGGGGGATGCTTTCAGTTCCAGAAACCTTTCGTAGAGCATGAGCAACGAATTACCTCTCACAATTCTCATCCTCAGGTTGCATCTAGGAGAACCACTAGAATAATTGAATGAAATGCACTTGCAGCAATCAAGGGGAAGCACAGTGTTAGTAAGTTGGCATCCATTCAAGTCACACGTAATTGTAATAAAATAGAAAGGACACTGGTTGCCCTTATTTGATACTGATGTGTTCAGTCAGATTATGATTATTGGTATGATCATGTGACAATTGTGTATCTTCTAAGATGAGTGTCCTCACAACATTTTTGTACTTTTATATTAAGGAAGTCTACATTCTCAATTAAGGTTTTTCATACATTATAGTCAACTGATTTTTAATTTTACCAAAGTGGCATATGAGGTTTCAACAACATTAAACACTAATGGCTGATTTATACAGTGTTCAAAGAGTATCCCTCCCTTACCAACATCCACTTTTTTTCTACATTTTCCTACACCGCCATCCTTAGAGTTTCCCTTAGTGATCTCATGTCAGATTGTTAATAAATGTGATTTTGGACTTTTCGAGTCTGGAAGTGAGACTTCACACAATCATTTCATGTAGGTAGATGTACAGTCAGCATATGAGGTCACTAAGATGAAAAGATAACAAGGTCACATTTCTGTGCCCTTTAACAGGCATTTAGTGGTACTATTTGTTTTAAAAGGAAAGATTTGTGCAGTAATTCTGTGACTGTTTGTCCTGCAAGAATGTAAAGTAATTGAGAACAGATATACAGTTTAGCAATTACTTTTCATGTCCTAGTAGTTAGATTGGAGATGGTACAATAGGTCTTAATTTCAACACCAATTCTTGAGAATTTATGAAAGTTGAAGAGAGTTTAAGGTGCAATATTCTTAGGAGCAACAAGCAAATGAAGGTCGGAGGCAGAGTGTCCATGGCAGTGTAGAAAGAGAATAATAAAAATCGAGAAATCATCTAGACTCAAGGTGATTGACTGGAAGGATCGACTATCAGACAACAAACCTTTATTATTTTTATCCAAGGGCATGGAAGTAAAGTAATAAAGAAACCTACTCAAACTTTGGAGGAGTTTATAAGCCTTGTATGAGTTGAACTTTGGAGAGAAAATCATGCATCATATATCCTTCATAAATCATAATACAGTATTTAGAGGTATTAATAACACATTTCCATGTAGGTTTATACTTTTTGAGATAATTTCATCAAGCATTCACAACAGGAATTTGATTTTCTTCTGTTTCAGGAGAGTGACTATACAGGTACCATGACTGATCAATTTCGTGTTGGAGGTGATCAACACTTCCAAGGTCAAGAATTGTATGAAGAAGCCGAGTCAAAATTGACAGCATGTGCAACACCAAACAATAGTGTGAGTGCCATTGATAAAAGTACCCTGTCTTCTCACAAACTGGAGAGTTCTATCCAACTAAAAGGCAGCTCCAGTTCCATAAAATCCTATGACATCTCTACCAGGCCTAAAGGGGAGTCGATGACTGCAATGGAGGCAAAGAAACACTATATACACAAACTTACACCATATGAGGAACAGGAAATAGCTAGCTATTCAGAAATCTATTTTGTTGGACCAAATTCTAAAAAGAGACCAGGAATTATTGGAGCACCAAATAATAATAGCTATGATGATGATCAGGGTTCTTATCTGTATGTGCCACATGATCATATAGCCTATCGATATGAAGTCATCAAGGTAATTGGGAAAGGCAGCTTTGGGCAAGTGGTGAAAGCTTATGACCACAAACTCCACCAATACATCGCCCTGAAAATGGTGAGGAATGAAAAGCGATTTCACAGGCAAGCAGCAGAGGAAATCAAAATACTAGACCATCTGAGGAAGCAAGACAAGGACAACAACATGAATGTTATCCATATCTATGAGAGTTTTTCCTTCCGTAACCACATATGTATGACCTTTGAACTACTAAGTATGAACCTCTATGAACTCATCAAGAAGAATAAGTTTCAAGGATTCAGTCTGCCCCTGGTCCGTAAATTTGCACACTCCATCCTGCAGTGCCTTGATGCTTTGCATAAAAGCCATATCATCCATTGTGACTTGAAACCTGAGAACATCCTGTTGAAGCAACAGGGCCGTAGTGGAGTAAAAGTGATTGACTTTGGATCCAGCTGTTATGACCATCAAAAAATATACACATACATTCAGTCACGTTTTTACCGAGCTCCTGAGGTGATTCTAGGAGCACAATATGGGATGGCTATTGATATGTGGAGTTTGGGATGCATTCTTGCTGAATTGCTGACTGGTCATCCGCTGTTGCCAGGGGAAGATGAGGGAGATCAACTTGCTTGCATGATGGAATTATTAGGAATGCCATCTAAAGTACTTCTGGAATGTTCCAAAAGGGCCAAAATGTTCATCAGTTCTAAGGGTTATCCTAGATATTCTTCTATTGTAACACTTCCTGATGGGACAGTGCATTTGAATGGTGGACGATCTCGAAGAGGAAAAACTCGAGGTCCCCCTGGTCAGCGGGATTGGGTCAGTGCCCTAAAGGGTTGTGATGATCAATCCTTCATTGACTTCCTGAAACACTGCCTGGAGTGGGATCCTGCCTCACGCATGACACCAGCACAGGCCTTAAGGCACCCTTGGCTTCGGAGACGTCTGCCAAAGCCGCCAACGAATGACAAAGCAACGTTTGTCAAACGCATGTCAGCAAGCCCTACTACCCTCATGGATGCAGTGGTTAAACTACCTCCTACTTCTGCCAGCATTGCCAATAAACTGAAATCCAATCAGAATAGTGATTCCAATCCCAACATGACTCAGAGGACAGTGCTGCCAAAGCTGGTCAGTTGACTGGTAACTTGAAGAGAGTAACAGTGATTGATACTCAGTCAGAATATGAATTCCTGTGGCATGCGGTATACAGGGAACATAATTTCTTCCTTTCTACATTCCAACGTGACTTGAGCCAACAGGTCTTTAATTGTTACAAGGCTGCAAGTCTGCACTGAGCATGCTCCAGGACTGCTGGGCAGCTCCTACCAGGCCACACTGTACTCATCGGTTTACACTGTACAATGACACAAACTACCCACCAACATTCACAGTAAAGCAGTTGGGCTAGATGCACAAAAGCAAAGGTGTTCTTTGATTGGATAATTATTTATTTTACACAGCAGTATCCTACTCAGATGTCATAGTGTGCTAATCCTTTGCTCCCTGTGTATTTGAAGGCCAAAAGTGTCCTTTAATTTATTCACTGATGAAACTGCTGTGAATGAAAATGGTCTCAAATCATTCACTTTCTAAATAAAATAACCAAGAAAGATTTTACACATTTACAAACTTTGATGTAATTATGGATTTGGCCTACTAGCTATCCTAATTTTATCTTTCTTGGGATCTGTATTTCCATTGGACACTGAACAGTGGCTTGCAGTCTAGGGTGGACATTTATATGCATTGGAGGAGAGATGGTAGCATGCAGACTCCTAGATGTGTCAATCCCTTATTTAAGGAGATAATGAGCTAAGGATTGCTGATTCCTTTAGTTTGGCTAAAGTACTCTGTAAGTATAAATGCAGGGATAACCCTCTTTAGGTGCAAATTAACTGCAACATCATGGTATAGTGGAAATTTTCCTCAGTGACAAAGCTGGTAATGTTAAAAATCATAGGCAGCTCTCCTTCATTTTTGGCAATTGAGAGATGATAAGTTACCATTTATATCTGAGTTTGTGTTCAAGAGATTTATTGCATTAGTTCTTCTTTTTATGAAACAATATATTAAAGGAGTTGAACAAAAGGAACTATCAGATGTACAGCTACGTCAGAGAAAGGCAAGCCTATTTATTAATTTGTACCCTATTTCATGCCTCTTTCTACCTTTTAGTCCCTCGTACCATGTAATTTTTCAAACCAGTATGACAGGCGGGTAAACTAGCCCAGGGCAATCACACCATATGAATAGTTAACTAAGAATTTTGGAAATTTTCCTTGGTGATCTGCCCTCTGATTTCCCATTCATCCTTCTGAAAGTAGTGTCTGTAAAGGTAAGACCCTGAATGTATAAGGTGAGAAGCGAACAAACATGCTAATTCCTACTTGAAGATGAAGAGTTATCAGCTATGAAACAGTGCTGTCAAACTAAGTAGTGTCAAAAATGATAAACTCTGCACATAATTCAGATTTGTTGTTAATATTACAATAACGGAAATTCACTAGATAAAAAAAGTCTTACAAAAGAACCTCAATTCATGTATCAAGTTGGATTGTGCACTATTTATCTTGAAGGCCTATTTAACAAATTTAAGGAGGAGAAAATTTGGACAGAAGCCTTAGTTATTGGGAAGATGGCTCAAGCAGTTGCAGGTGAACTCAAAATGTCAATTTCACAAGCCTCCCATTTTCTAGTGATTGATAACAGGAAATTCAGGAGAATTGCAAATCAAATTCACTAATGTCTGCTCCTAATTGTTGGACCTATTGATCTGTAAGGCACCATGCCAGCAATGTTGTCTTGAAAGTTTCACCCTTTATACCTGATAAAACATTTTCATTTTTTAAATTCATTTCAGTGTCGTATCTATCTCCCAAACACATAACACTTGATAAACTTTGATTGTCCCTTTTCTTAGAAAACAAAATTAGCCCTTGCTGCTTAACTGCAGAATGTATTAATGGGCAATTTCATCCAGATGGGGAGCTTTGCGCACTGGGACCACATTGAGAAATTATATTCCACTCAATGGGAAATGAAAAGAAGACTTACATTTTTGAAATGCACCTTTCATGATCTCAACCATCATAAAATGCTTTACAGCCAATGACATCCTATTTGATGCTAGTCATTGTTTTAAATGTAGGAAATACAGCAGCTAATTTGCATTTAGCAAACTCCCATAAACAGCAATATGATAATAACTGAATAAACTATTTTAGCAATGCTGATCGAGGAATTATGATTGTCAGGACACCAATAAGAACTGCTCAGTGCTTCTCCAAAATATTACCCATTTGGATCTTTCATCCCCATTCAAGGGAATGGATGAGGCCTTAATTTGTGTCTCATCTGAAAGACAGTATTTTTGACAATGGTGTCTGATGAGGACATCATTAGAACCCAATCTGGAATTTTATTTAAGAAGCGAGTGAGCAGTGGTCCTTCCCAGTTTTGATAAACCCCAGCTGGGAACTGAATTATGGGCTAGAAGAGATACAGCAAGCTATTTTAGGTTTAGTTGTGGACTAGAATGAGCTTCTTCAGGTCTCTAAGAAGCCTTTGACCTCCATCACTCCAACTTTCCTCTCTTCCCTAATCACTTACAGATTAATCTCTCCCTTGAATAGCTATGCTTATATCTATTTACTTGGTATGAACTGAACCACAACAATTTTCTGCATTCTTCTGTATCATCAGCAAACTTACATATCATTTTTCTCATGCATGTGCCTGAATCATTAATATTAAGTTCCCAGGAAGATTTCCTTGTAGCCCACCATCTCATCAGTACAGCCACTCCTGCCTCAGATGCTTTAGATCAGAAAGCTTTGCACAGTCAGGAAAGAGAGATCACATCCAGAGTGAGACACAGCCTGAGTAAGTATACAATTTGGGGAATTTGGGGGCAGTGTGGGAATTTGGTGCAGAAGGGAAGAGGTGCTTTTCGCTTACTTTTTTGGTTCATTGTTTGTAAAGTTGATTTTTTTAACAGGATTAATTGAAGCCTAGGATCAAGGGGCCAGCACAAAAGAGAAAGTAACATCACAGGTAAACAGTAAGTTTATTGGTTGGTAATAGCTGCTAATTAAACTATCTATTGTAGGTTACTTCAGACTGAAGGTAAATAGGAGAAATATTTACAGATTACAAACTAAAAGACCAGTGGAAATTTAAAAAAAATACAAATTAAGAACTAAGCAAAGATAATTCCTATGCCAGGGCAGGTGATGTGTTGTACCTGCTTGAAGAAGTTGCTGGTGGACCCCAGTGGGGTTTGTAGTGATTACATCCGTAGCAAATGTTGGTTGCTTGAAGAACTCCAGCTCAAAGTTTTGTGTTGGAATCTGAACTTTGAATATTGTGACACATAAGATGGGGGAGAGTTACCTGGATGCTCTGGTCCAGAAGACAGTCAACATCTCTTAACTAACTCAAGTTCAGTCAGCGGTCAGAAACAGGAGGGTATGACTACAAGCAAGGCAGGTAGAGGGATCCAGGAGATAGTGCTGAAGGATTCTCAGCCCTTGAGCTTGTCTAACAGGTTTGAGATTCTTGCTCCCTGTGTGGATGACAGTGTGAGCATAGAACAATACAGCACAGAATGGGCCCTTCAGCCCATGATATTGTGTCAAACATGACGCCAAATTAAGCTATTCCCTTTTTCCTGCCCTTAGTCCATATTCCTCCATTCTTTGCATTTCATGTGCTTATCTAAAAGCCTCTTAAATGCCCCATCATATCTGCCCCCACCATTACCCCTGGCAGCACATTCCAGACTCCTAGAGTGAAAGCTGTGGGAAAGATGAAAAAATTGACCGTAGCACCATGGTACAAGGAGCCATTCAAAAGGTGGGAGAAAAGAGAAATGTAGTTATAATCAGGGACAGTATAGTCAGGGGAATAGACACTATTCCCTGTGGCCAGGATCGAGAGTCCTGAATGCTCTGTTGCCTGCCTTGTGCCTGGGTTCAGGATATCTCATCTGGGCTGAAGAGGAACTTGGAGTGGGAGGGGAAAGATGTGGTTGTCATGGTCCATATGGGTACCAATGATATAGTAGAAAGAGGAAAGAGGTTCTGCTGAGGGAATATGAGCAGCCAGGGGCTAAATTAAGAAGCAGAAACAAAAAGGTAATACTGTCTGATTACTATCTGAGCCACAAGCAAATTGGCATAGGGTCAACGAGATTAAAGAAGTAAATGTGTGGCTGAAAGATACATGTGGAAGAAATTGGCATCAGTATTGGGGAAGGAAGGAGCTGTCCAATAGGATGGGCTCACCTTGGATCATACTGGGACCAGAGCACTGGAAGAATTGTGTGTGTGTGTGTGTTGGCTCAGGAGAAGTTATTAATGTTTCTAGAACAAGTAATAGGACAGAAAGTACGGAAAGAGTCAGGGGTCTAACTTCAAGCATAGCAGATGAAGGGACAACTATGAGTTGGAGGACAATCACCGCAGGACTAAGGGTATTGTATTTAAATGCACACAGTATATGAAACAAGATAAATGAGCTTGTAGCAGATTGCAGTCAGTAGATACGATGCTGTGAGAATCACAAAGGTGTGGCTGCAAGGGAATCAGGGCTGGGAACTAAACTTCCAAGGATACACATCCTATCAAAAGGACAGGCAGATAGGCAGAGGAGGCAGGTTGCCTCGTAAGTGAAGATGAAATTCGATCAATAGCAAGAAGTGATATAGGCTCCTTGCAGAATTCAGGATGTGGGAAAGATATAAATCAAGAGATAGAAAATCATGTTAGAGAGGCATTAAAACAATAATCATGGGGGCCTTCAATATACAGGTGAACTAGGAAAATCAGGTTGGTAACAGATCCCAAGAAAAAGAATTTGTTGAATGTCCACAAGATGGTTTTTTTGGAGCAGCTTGTGGTAGAGCTCATTCGCGAACAGGTAATTCTGGATTTGGTGATGTGTAGTGAGGCAGACTTGTTTAGAGAGCTTAAGGTGAAGAAACCCCTAAAAGCAGTGACCATAATATGATAGAATTTACACTGCAGTTTATGAGGGAGAAGGTCGAATCAGATGTAATGGTATTACAATTGAGGAAAGGTAACTACAAAGGCATAAGGGAGGAGCTGGCCCGAGTTGATTGGAAGAAGAGCCTCACA